CAAACGTGCAAGTTGCAAACATTCAAAGGCATCAATGTGTATCTGATTCCAGCAAGGAGCTGGAACCTGTGCCATCAACCTCAGGCATTGCAGCCTGCCCGCCCCCGTCCCCTGTGGCAGGCGACCCTGCAGCTCCACCACCTCCCACCCGTCCCTCCTCCAGGCGGTAACTCCTCTTGGCTGCCCGCTGGCGGCCAGCCCCTGTGCCAGCTGCTGGGCTGTACTACTCTGCTTTTCGGGGTACGGCCCCGTGAGGTTAGAAATGCCGTTCTTTCCTGTGTTTGCTGCGTATTACTTGTGTGACAAGTGTTATAAACCTGTTACAGGGCTGTGCTATATAGCTGACCGTGTTACGGGGTACCTAGGCTAGCCCCTCCCAACTCCCCCCTTTTCCCTGTAAAAGCAAGTTCCCCTTCCTTATTCTCTGGATTTGCCTACGGTTCACCCTGGTTCACATATCCTGAAGAGCAATCTCTCTGCTCTTCCCAGACAAACTTGCTTCTGCTGGTGAAACAGCTGCCTATCGTATTGTTAAAGCTGAGAAGCTACATCAGCCGTATTAAAACAGCAGTGCATTAATACAGCTGAGTCAGCTTTATTAAACTTCTCTTTACATTCTTTTACTTTTAACCTCCCTATATTTGTATTTATGTTTAAAGAGTGCTTTGTTAACAAAGAGTTAAGTCTTTGTTTCCTATCAAATCTGACAATCTCTCCCTTTTTCATTGGGGGTCTATTCCGCTTACATTTAAGTTTCCCATATGACTGAGTTTAAGTCTCTCACCTTGCTATCTGTTTTCCATGTGTCCCTTCGGATCCATCATTCCTCCTTTCCAGACTCCTCAAGCTTTTTTCCAGTGTTCCTTTTATCTCCTCTATTGGATTTTTTAAAAATTAATTAATTTATTTGTATATTGTCACCCTGCTTATTTAACTTATATACAAAGTACATCATGAGAAACACTGGGCTGGATGAAGCACAAGCTGGAATCAAGACTGCCAGGAGAAATGTCAATAACCTCATATATGCAGATGACACCACCCTTTTGGCAGAAAGTGAAGAGGAACTAAAGAGCCTCTTGATGAAAGTGAAAGAGGAGAGTGAAAAAGTTGGCTTACACCTCAACATTCAGAAAACTAAGATCATGGCATCTGGTCCCATCACTTCATGGCAAACAGATGGGGAAATAGAGACTTTATTTTTGGGGGGCTCCAAAGTCACTACAGATGGTGACTGCAGCCATGAAATTAAAAGACGCTTGCCCCTTGGAAGAAAAGTTATGACCAACCTAGATAGCATATTTGAGCAACTTCATTTCACTTTTCACTTTCCTGCATTGGAGGAGGAAATGGCAACCCACTCCAGTGTTCTTGCCTGGAGAATCCCAAGGACGGGGGAGCCTGGTGGGCTGCCGTCTATGGGGTCGCACAGAGTCAGATACGACTGAAGCGACTTAGCAGCAGCAGCAGCAGCAGACAGCATATTAAAAAGCAGAGACCTTATTTTGTTAACAAAGGTCCATCTAGTCAAGGCTACGGTTATTCCAGTGGTCATGTATGGATGTGAGAGTTGGACCATAAAGAAAGCTAAGTGCCGAAGAATTGATGCTTTTGAAGTGTGGCGTTGGAGAAGACTCTTGAGAGCCCCTTGGACTGCAAGGAGCTCCAACCAGTCCATCCTAAAGGAGATCAGTCCTGGGTGTTCATTGGAAGGACTGATGTTGAAGCTGACACTCCAATACTTTGGCCACCTGATGAGAAGAACTGACTCATGTGAAAAGACCCTGATGCTGGGAAAGATTGAAGGAGGGAGGAGAAGGGGACAACAGAGGATGCGATGGTTGGATGGCATCACCGACTCAATGGACATGGGTTTGAGTAAACTCCGGGAGTTGGAGATGGACAGGGAGGCCTGGCGTGCTGCGGTCCATGGGGTTGTGAAGAGTCAGACACGACTGAGAGACTGAACTGAGCTGAACTGAATTTATTTGACAGCCTCAGGTCTTTGCTGCAGCATGCAAGACTTCCGTTGCTGTCCGCGGGCTCCTCTCTAGTGGTGGCACATGAACTCAGCTGTCCTACAGCTTGTGGGGTCTTAGTTCCCCAACCAGGGATCAAACTCACATCCCCCACACTGGAAGGGGAATTCTTAACCCTGAACCACCAGGGAGGTGCCTCTTCTATTGGATTTTAGTTCTAACTCTTAGTGTTACACTGCCGTATCCACTCTAGAAATTAAAGCATGCATCCTTATTTCATCACGCTCCACCTCAGATATTTTAATCATACCTATGACATAAATCGTACCACATTCTTACTATTTGTCTTTAAATGGTCAGTAATTTTCCAATGTGTTTTTTAGACTCATCTTTTATATGCATATGCCCATTTATTTTTCCAGTGGTTCTCATTCCTTCTTGAATAAATGGACTTCTAACTGGGGTCTTTTCTCTTCATCCTGGAGAACTTCGGTAATTCTTACAGTGCCGCCCTTCTGGCCAGAATTTATTTTAGCCTTTATTTTTGGAAGATGTCTTTATTTCACCTTCACTGTTTAAAGGCATTTGACTGGATTTAAAATTCTGCATCCTCTTCCTTTTAACCTCTTCAGATGCCATTCGCTTGCCGTGTCCTCCACCAGCTCCGGTGGAGAGCCATCATTCTTCTGCTATTCCTCCATACAAAGGTCATTCTACTGCTCCTCTGAACGCAGTTTCTTGATTTTCCTGCCTGCTTTCAAGACTCCTCTCCCACGTTCGGCTTCCATCACTCCCACTGTAATGTGCTCAGATGTGCCTTCTTGGCCTTTGTGATTTCTCAGAGTGCCCTGGCCTCTTGGGATCCCTGGGCTCACACGTTTCATCAGTTTCAGGAAAGAATTGCCCATTATTTCTTCAAATGTTTCTCTTTTCTCCTTCTGGAAGTTCAACTGCACGCACATTAGATAATCTGATACAGTCCTACGGGTCCTCAGTCTTCTGTTCCCATGGCGTGATAGCTGTTCTTCATGAGGGTATTCAGGATATGTGAACTAGGCCTTTTGGGGTTTTAACTGAATGCCCAGAAGGGATGTTCACCGAGGTCTCTGGGTAGGTTGGCTGGGATTCCTCAGCACTGTGTGACCTCTGAAATCTCTGTTCCCTGGGAGCTGCTGTCTACTGGGCCTACCTTGCCCGACGTGTGCCCAGTTGAGGGTCTGGCCAGGTACCTGGCAGGTACCTTCTCTGGCACTAAGGAATTCCCCCTCCCGTCTGATACCGATCCACGGATTGCAGTCGTCTCGGCAGCCACGTTCTCCGCTCTGTGTCCTCTGCCCAGGAAGCTGGTCGTCTTCACTGGACTGGACTTCCCTGGGCTGAGTTTGCACACCACCCCCTCCAGCAAGAAGCCAAGAGAAACACGGAGGTCATCCTGAGGGCACCGCTTGGCCCGAGGGTCATGGCCCCAAACTACATTGCCGGGACTTCCCTGGTGGTCCAGGGGTTAAGACTCCGTGCTCCCAACACAGGGGGCCTGGGTTCGATCCCTGGTCAGGGAACTAAGACCCCACGTGCTACAGCTGAGAGCCTGTGTGCCACCCCAAAGAGCCCGTGTGCGCCACGAAGGCTCGGCACAGCCGGATAAATCAAAAAAAGCGAAGCACCATGTGCCGCCCGCTTCCCGCTGGGCCCGCCCTGAGCACAGGTCCCAGCCTCCCCGTCTTTCCCCACAGCCAGTGACAGTCAGTCCCATTCAGGCTGACATTTCATCCGACGCCCCTTCTCCTTTCATTCTGAGCCCTTCCCAGGACTCGAATTACAGGATGGCCTTTGTTTGGAGGAAAGCGATATTCAGTGAAAAGTCGCCAGAAAGGTCTCAAAATACGAACATTATATAACACGACAACAAAAGCAGGACAAAAACTCCTAAATGGAGGAATCTGTCCTGTGGAGGCCTAACGCAGCATGAGGAGCTAGAAACCCGGAGAGCTGTTGGCTTGCATTGCATTGTAACAACGCAGAAACCCTCCGGACAAGAGCGCCCTGGTGGAGGAGTGCCAGTGACAAATCGCAATTCAAAGCAACTCCGCAGTTCATAACAGAAAAGCAGAAATCACAGAGGTTTCAGCTGGAGACTGAGAATGTGTGTGTGTGTGTGTGTGTGTGCACGCGTGTGTGTGCGTGCGTGTGTGTGCGCATGTGTGCATGTGTATGCATGTTTGTGCGTGTATGTTTGTGTGTGTGTGTTCGTGTGTGTGTGTGTGTGTGTGTAATATTCCCAATCTACAGCTCAAGTTAAGGTTGGGGTTGAAGGTTTACCACAAAGAATCCATAAACTGGAAAGCAGTGAACATTTCACAGCTTTAACAATTCGCTGTGTGCGATGTGGGGTTTCCCAGGTGGCTCAGTGCCTCACTGGCTTCACTTGCCAACGCAGGAGACCCGGGTTCGATCCCTGGGTGGGGAAGATCCCCTGGAGGAGGGCGTGGCAACCCACTCCAGTGTTCTTGCCTGGAGAACCCCACGGACAGAGGGGCCTGGAGGGCTGCAGTCCATGGGGTCACAGAGAGTCGGACACGACTGAGAGTCAGGCGTGCTAATGCAATCTTGGACCCACTCTAGGTGCTTCCAGATATTTTGAATAAATGTGTTTATCACAATTCTTTAAGCAGCAAGTTTCCCTTCAAGCACCACACACAGACTCTTCCCCAGTTCCCTTGTTGACCTGAGTTCTTATCCAGCCGCTGTGCTGACTGTTTTCACAAATCTTGTTTAACTTGGAAAATGCATCTCTAAGAAGCATTTTATCTTCACATCTGGCTTTCGGGACCATCAGTTTACCAAGTCTACTCACGCCTGCCAATGTTTCCACAAGCTTTATTTCAGAAATTTGGTAATCTTTGGCTTTGAAACACGTGTATAGAAGATTTTTAACATAAGAAGCCCTGCCTGCATTGTTATTTTTAAATAAATGTATGCAACTGTTAAATTTTGTGCCTCTGGGGTTTTTGTTTTCCACAGCTGCCTGGGCGGACTCCCAGTCAGGAAATAAGGTCAGTGAAACAGCTGCAATCGTGAAAAAGGGACCAACAGCCAGGAGAGAGAAACAAAGAAAAGGTTTGCTGCTATCCTAGTGTGATGGTGAGGAAGAAGCAACTCCGTGTAAGATGTCGAGTGTGAGATTTCCTTGCAATGCTATTTTTTTTTAATGTGTTTTAAGTGGACCATTTTTAAAGTCTTTATTTGTTACAATCATGTTTCTGTGTAATGTTTTGGTTTTTTTCCCCTGAGGCATCTGGGATCTTAGCCCCCTACCAGGGATTGGACCCCCACCCCCTGCACTAGGAGGAGAAATCTCAACCACTGGACCACCAGGGAAGCCCCCGGCGTTCCTTAAAGGCTCAGAAAATCACAAATATGTTGGCAACGCTTCATGGATATGTGTACACATGCAAAATGAATCATGTGTAATGTAACATTTATCTGAAAACATGCTAAGTTCTGAGGCTAATGAACACTCAGGTGGTGGAGTGGAAGAAAGTGAACACTTTTCTTCTTGGAAAGCAGCCGAAGTGCTAGTTGCTCCCTCATGCCCGACTCTGTGCGACCCCATGGGCAGCAGCCCACGGGATTCTCCAGATAAGAATACTGCAGAGGGTCGCCATGTCCTTCTCCAGGGGATCTTCCCAACCCAGGGATCGAACCCGGGTCTCCCGCATTGAAGGCAGATTCTCTACCCTCTGAGTCACCAGGTAAGCCCTAATTTTGTTCTAATCTCAACCCTGCTCCTACCTGGTTGTGTAACTGTGAGTGAATCACCGAATCAGCCCTCTGAGCTCCCAGCGCATGGGCCCGGTTTCCAACCTGGTCAGGGATCAGGTACCACACGCCACAGCTAAGACCTGGCGCAGCCAAAAAGAAAAAAAAATTAAAAAAGAAAAAAGAAATAACACGACTTGTCTTAGTTTCTTTGTTGGAAACCAACCGATTTCTCAGATTTCTGTTATTTTATCCACGCCCACCCCTAGAAGTCTGTAATTCTCTGGGAACTTGATGTATTCCTTTCAGATAATTACATTCTTTCAGCTGAGTGCTGTAGACAGCAATGAAAGACGGGTTGGTAGGAAACACTCTTCCCGCATCAAGGCTTATGTTTAGGGCATACAAAGTGGGAGGCCGACGTCTGGCTCAGGGTCCCGGGCCCAGCCTGTCAAATCTGCCAGTTTAACCTTAAAGTCGGATGCTCTGAGGTTAGTCATATGCTGACCTAATTTATAAATGACTTTATCTCATGCTTAAACATTCCTAACTTGACCCTCACGTGGGCAAGTATTGGCGTTGCTCAGTCATTCAGTCGTGTCCTAGTCTTTGCAACCCCATGGACAGCAGCCCGCCAGGCTCCTCTGTCCATGGGATTTTCCAGGCAAGAGTGGGTTGCCATTTCTTCCTCCAGGGGATCTTCCTGACCCAGGGATCAAACCCACGTCTCCTGTACTGGCAGGTGGGTTCTTCACCCCTGAGCCACGAGGGAAGCCTGGCATACTTATCATTTAGAACTATATAATCTTCATTTATAACAGCTACACAATAGGCTAGTGAGAGACACCGTGCGCGTTCATGTTTAACTTTTCATTCTTAAATATTCTTAAATGTGGACGGCACATTTCTCAGCACTGAAGACAAGGCAACCCCCACGCTCGTTCTGTGTCCCGCTGCCTGGCATCACTGTTGAACAAAGCACCTCCAAATGTGGTGGCTTTCAGCAGCAAACAGTCGTCATTCGTCCCCACTGAGCAGAATGAGGGGCCAGCTTGCCCAAACCATCTAGTTCCGAGGTTGGCAGCGGGCTTGGTCCCTAGAGGCCCACGGGCGGGTCTGGCGGTAAACATGACGTCAGTGAGGCTCCAGCCTTGGCCGATCACCCAGCTGGCCGGCCTGGGCTTGTCCAGGCGCAGGCAGAAGGGTGCTCGGCAGCAAGAGAAGGCAAGCCCAGCACAGGGCACCCTCCCTGTCTCTGCCCGCATCATGTGATTGTGCCCCCCGACCAAAGGGGCACTGGGCCAAGCCCACAGTCCGCGCGGGACAAGGGCCGCCGTGCAGAGCCTGCCCCACGCTCCGTTCCGTTTTCGCTTTGGCCTAATGTCTCTTGCAGACATGTTCAATACCCCATCCCGTTCAGACGGTTCTTCTGTCATTTCGCAGTTGGATGGAGTTTATTCTCCAGAGCGTGGGGTGGGGGACGAGCCTTCTTCTGACCTGACCAGCATGTGCTGGCTGCAGCTCTGATGTCCAGCTCTTCAGAAGACAGGCCCCGAGTCCGAGGACGAGGAGGATGCGGCCAGAACACCCAGGCCGGGGCTCCACTCACTCACCTGGCCTGCTGTGTCTAACGCAGAGTGGGCTGCCAGGGGCTTCCCTGGGGGTCCAGCGGCTGAGATTCTGCGCTCCCACTGCAGGGGGCCCTGGTTCAATCCCGGGTCAGGAAACTAGACCCTGCAGGCCACAACTAAAGGTCCCACACACTGCAGATAAGACCTGGCATGGCCAAAGAAAAACGAACAAAAACCAGAAGTCAGCCGCCAGCCCCCAGTCTCTCTGGATGAGAACAGAACTCTCGCACCCAGGTGCGTCCAGGTGCAAGGGCAGAATCTCCACCTCCTGACGGGAGCCGGCCTCACCGCCCCACGTCTCCTGCACAGGTGGACTGCAGCATCGCTCCAACTGGTCCCGGGCTACCCCGGTACAGCGGGAGCTGTCCGTGCGCTTTTCTGAGTGCCGTCCGCCTGTGATAGTGAGGTGTTTCCTAGCCTCTGACGTGCTTCAGCGGACGAGATGATAGTGGAAGCGATGCAAGCAGAGGCTTGGAAGTGCTCACGTGGTTGGGCTGCAGACTCTGCCTCTGAACGGGGAACACTGCTGGCCAGGCTGTTGGTCCAGAGAAGCTGAGGGGCCTGCGAACAGAGCCGCCCTTGAGGGGGGCCCTCAGCTCGGCCCGCCAGGCCAGGAGAGCCACCATGCCACGCTGGGCTTGTCTTAAGCTGCTGAGCTGTGAGGCGGTTTGTTGCACAGCAGTGTCGTAGTCATTAAAAACGGCGTTTGTGAGTGTCGGTGACCCTGGCAACACCCTCAAGGGCCCCAGTGAAAAGACGACCTACTTTCTGGCTTGGAACACGCCCCTCTCAGGCCAGGCTGGAGCCTCCGGGGTCACAGCTGACGCAGGGGTCCGCCTGGGAGCAGCCAGGAGCCCCAGAAGGCTGCGGGCTTCCTTTATTCCCGCCACTCTCAGTCTCCATCACCCCCAGACTCTGATAAAACAACCCCGCTCAGCACAGCGCTAAAGACACAGGAGTTCTTTCATATTTATTGTTTGAATAAAATAGTTAGCGAATGCATTGCAAGGCCATTTTCTGAAAGTGTCACATGAGTTAGAAGGTCCACCGTTGATGATATCTAATGCAGCTAACTATATCCCTGGCATTATGGAAAAGAAACAAAACTATAATTTTCCTTGAAATCTGATTGAGATTGCATTTCAGTTAGCATCTAGCTCCAGGAGTCCGAAACTGACATGAGCTGTAAGGGAGCCTAGACTGGGACGCTCAGTGCCCTCCGGCCCTTCTGAAGTCAGTGCTAAGAAAAAGCTGCTCGGCCTAGGGGAATTCTGTGGTTGCAGTGTGCTCCGTCATGTCTGACTCTTTGCCACCCCCGAGGACTGTAGCTCACCAGGCTCCTCTGTCCATGGCATTCTCCGGGCAAGAACACTGGAGTGGGTAGCCATGCCCTCCTCCAGGGGATCTTCCTGATCCAGGGATCGAACCGGCGACTCGAGCACTGGCAGGGATTCTTTACCACTGAGACACCTGGGGAGCCCAAGAGAACTCCGCTCCCGCACTAACACACTCGCTGACCCACTGAGCTCCGCTCCTTCACTAACACACTCGCTGACCCACTCAGCTCCACTCCTGACACTAACACACGCGCTGACCCACTGAGCTCCGCTCCCGCACTAACACACTCGCTGACCCACTCAGCTCCGCTCCTGACACTAACACACTCGCTGACCCACTGAGCTCCGCTCCTGACACTAACACACTCGCTGACCCATTCAGCAGGGTTGACGCTGCCTGCTTCACTGTGGCACTCCTCGAAACTTTTAAGATGCTAACTAACATAGCACATTGTAATGCTCTGGGCCAACTTGGCCCCAGGACGCTGAGAATCTCTTGTGCTTAGAGCATGGGTATGATTGACACCAGCCCACAGAACAGCTGGAGAATTTCTGCTCATTTTCAGTGACCTCCCCAGTAATGAATCATCCTGTCAGTTACATTTAAATTCCACCTTCCTGGCCCTGCACTGACCACTCTGGCAGCTGGGGCCCTTTTTACGGCCGCGTCACACAGGAAGAAAAGGGTGGGGAAGGAATGGGTAAGAAGTCACGAAACAGGTCAGAAATAATTACAGTGAAAACACTTATTGAGCCAAATAAATTTCCCAGGCCTATGAGCAAGCAGTCCACAGTTATCTGCTATCCACCCTGTGACACTGGGTCTTGGACTCCGACCAGCGGCTGGAGCCACACTAACGAGGAAAGCTCTGAAGCGCTCGGGCGATTCGGGGGCTGGCACAGGCAAAGGTTACAAGATGCCCTTGCACTCCCATTGGCGACAAGCTGTGTCCTGTGTCTCATGGCCTGGTTGCTGCTGCACGCAGACTTGGTTCAGCAGAGCCCAGCACACCCGTCCCCAGGAGCCACAGAGTTCCCCGCGAAGCAGAGGGGGGCCACGGAGCCAATGGTGGGAAACTACAGCCCACCCCCCCAAGCTATTGCACGTGAACGCCAGCGAGTAAATGACATCCAGACAGGTCCCTGTCTTTCTCAACTGTGCTCTGCTTAGAGTCGTTTTAAAACAAACACAAAGAAAAAAACAAGAATGAAAAACACCTGTAGCCCACTTGGTCCTCCAGAGATCACTGGAACAGCAGACGTGAGCTTGGACCCAGGCGGGTTAGATGCTAAGCTTGTATGCATGGGAAAAGTCAGACAGTCCAAACACACAGAAAACGTCTTGCATGTTTGTGAGTGCTCAGTTGTGTCCGACTCTCTGCGGCCCCAGGGACTGCAGCCCGCCAGGCTCCTCTGTCCATGGCATTCTCCAGGCAAGAACACAGGAGTGGGTTGCCATTTCCTCCTCCAAGGGATCTTCCCACC